CGGCTCCCATTCTGTTTCAGTTTCCTCTTTTATCTTCCTCTTCGCTGCGAAAGAAACTCAGCCTAGCTGTCTGTCTCCTGTCTTCCTGGCAGCTCCCTTGTTCTTTGTAGGTGTTGCTTTTTTTGTACACGTTTGCCTCTCCCCGGCCTGGTCACTCTGTGGTTGGTGGTGGTTAGCCCTGTTTTACAGAGTGAGGGCCTCTTACATTGACGCCCTCATCCAGCCCTGTGGGTCACAGAGCTGAGTCAAGGAACATTGCTGCTTGAAGTATTTCATCCCATGGATGTGTCTCTGTATCCTTAAGCTTTTCTTTTGATGTGTTGCAACATCAAAGTGAGCATCATTGAGTCTTACAAAATGGATAGATGGATAATTCAACAAATGTCAGTTGTGCTTAACAGTATATGGCTGGGTGTGAGAGAAAAAGCTCATTAATTGTTTTCAGTTTAACATTGGTTCAAGTTTTCTTTTCAGTTTTAACATTGGTTCAAGTTTTCTAATGTTTAGCTCTATTTTGCCCAGGACTCTTACAACTGTGCTATAAAAAGCTCTCCCTAATTAAACAAAATATGTAATGTATATTTTAAAATGTAAGTATAATTACTTACCTGAAAGAACTAACTCAAAAGTGATTACACTCTCTGTAGGTCAGACAACTCTTTGATATGTCATTTATACTTTGAGAAGCTTATTACCTTTCTTAGGTTTCATCAGCTCAGCTAATAAGATACATAGAAGCAAATGACTTTCTGAACAAAAGTTATAGGCTACTCACTGTTTGGGTTAACTCTGCTCATAAACAGACCTGATCAACAGGTTTCCAACAAAAACAGCTGCTGCAATAAGAGTTAAATTAATAACTTCCACAGATGCACGTGTGGAATGTGCACATGTTTGTGACAATTGATATGATTCAAAGGATATTGTGGGATAAGGTTTCATCCCTACACTATTAAGTCCATTTTTACTGCCATCCTGAAGTAACTTCCTGGTAATGGGGACGTGTTCATATCCCGTCTTATATTGTAAAACAAGGCTGAGGTAGTGCAACATACAGAGTTTTGAACTGCTTATATCTACCCTGTTTTTCAAAAAAAATTACCTAGTTAAGCTGTTAGTTTGTAATGGAAGTCACAATTTTGGTATCAATCAGACACTGGTTATGTTTTTTTGTTAAAATAACACGTCTGCTTGCTTGTTGCCAGGGGCACTGGATGACCATAACTAAACAATGTCTGTCCCACGTGGAGCTGTCCATGCAAAATGGATAGCAGGGAAAGTAATAGGAACCAAAATGCAGAAGACTGCCAAAGTGAGAGTGACAAGGCTTGTGCTAGATCCTTACTTACTAAAGGTAAAAGCTGGTTAACAACTTGTCTTGCATGGTAATTTTTGTACTGTGTGAAGGAATGTTTTATTGATTTTACTCTTAGAATTTTTGATAGCTCTTTATAATGCAAACTCCTGAATCAATTGCATAATGATTTGGCTGTGGGGATGACTGCAAGGATGAAAAGCAGTGTGTTGTGAGGATGCTTCCTTACACATTATCTGCTAAATGTATTTCTTTGAAGTGCTTTGTTAATGCACTTCATTTGATGTCAGTTGAGAAGGTAAGTTGTTGTTGTTTCACACTTAGATTTAATTTTTTATATTGATTTGGAGTATGCTTTGTTTTTGAAACAACATTATATTAGTCATTTTTACAATAAAATTTATAGCAGTTTTTCTGTATGTATAACTGTAAGCATACTTAGTATTTGAATCTGTACTGTGTGCTATACAACCTTTGTATTTATCACTTGTCAATGTATTTCAAGCAGGGAGGTTAAAATTAGTATTGTTTCTATTTTTAGATAGGGAAACCATGGTACATGTAGGTGGAATAACTTGCCTTTGGTGACCAGAAGGTTAAGGATAGAGTCAGGATTACATAATGAGTCTTGCAGATCCCAGTCTAATACTTTATCCAAGAGAAGAAGTTAATTTCTTTCTTAAAAGGAAGATTTTTGAATTCTGCTGTTCCAGTAAGAATAAATACTGAATTTTTGTATGAAAAAAATAGATGGAGCAAGAAAACTCTCAAATTACAAACTTCAAAATACTAATTTCAGCACTGATGAACTTTAGATATATTAGAATGAATAAGAATTAATATAAATTCTTGAAGCGTGGACTGCACAGGGAAGTCATTCAGCTTGGAAGAGCTGAGGCAGCTGACTTGCTGAAGCAGTGTTGATGTGAAGCATCCTAAGGAAAGGAAAGGCTAACACAGCAGAGCTACAGAGCAGAGGCACCAGTGGAAAGTGGTGATGCTAGGAACAGGAATCTGTTAAGTGAAGAGCTTGTTATTTTCACCTGTACCCAAATGTTCACTATGAACAGCTTTTTGTATTTGGCTTTTTCTTCCCCATCTCATTTTCTACAGGCTTGGTTGGCAACAACATCCTGACTAGAGAGATTGTCAGGGAAGGGTAGTGTTGTGCCCTTTGGAAAAACAGTACAGTGCACAGTTTTATTTTTCTTCATGATCCAAACTGAATCTCAAAAAATAAGACTTCTCCGTAGTGAAATTTAGTTTTATATTAACTATATATTTTCCAGTTGCTTAATTTTGAAATCTAATGCCAAGGTTTCCTTTTTTCCTTCTACAGTTCTTTAACAAACGAAAAACCTATTTTGCCCATGATCCATTGCAACAGTGTGTTGTTGGAGACATTGTTCTTCTGAAAGCTTTGCCTGAGCGAAGGAGCAAACATGTGAAACATGAACTGGCTGAAATTGTTTTCAAGGTTGGAAATGTTATAGATCCAATAACAGGAAAGCCCTGTGCAGGAACCAGATTCCTTGAAAATCTGTCAGATTCAGAAAACCTGACAGAGGCAGATACTACCTATCTAAGTGAAAAACTTCAGGAACTTAAAGTTTGTTCAACAGACAAATAGTGGAGAAAATATTTAAACAGAGGGCTTTTCAGCTTGTCTCTGTCAGGGATGTTTGGGGCCCTGCTGTTGTATGTTCAATGTTTCTGTGAAATCCGTAGTCAAAATAAATAGTAAACTTTGCTTATAAGAACAGAAGTTACAGATTGATAGGCATCTCAAATATTTACATGAAAATACAGAGAAAAATGTGAGTTTAGTGTTAACACTTCATTTTGTTGCATGTAGTTTTGCCCCAAGCCTTGACAGTTTCAAAAGCAAGCTGCTTGCTTGGAATGACTCTTCTGTATTGAGAAAGACAAGAATATAACTGTATAATGTTTAAGCTTGGTGGAAGGATCATTATATTATTTGAACTGTATTTCAGACAGTCTTTTGTGGTTTGTAGGATTACTTAAGATAATGCTATTAAACCTTTTGAAAGGAAGTGTAGAATTTTAAAACCAGCTACCTGCATATGTCCTTATTTCTCTTACGGCAATGTGGTATGAGTGACTATCTTCTAACTCCCAAAATCTCTTAACAAAAACACAACCATTTGCCTTTATAATGGCAGTAAGGTGAGAATAAAAACTTCGGGTAGCTTAGCATGGTTGCCTTTGTAACCTGTCCAAAGGAAGTATTTATTTTGGGGAGAGATGGATCTCTTTGAACTGCTGGCAGGAAATAGCTGATGAGAATAAAAAGCCAAAAAAATAGAAGTAAAGATGGTTAGATTTAGTCTTATCAGAAAAGCTAATTAGAACAACATGTTTTTGGACAGATACAGGTACTGATTTGCTGCATATGTTAATATGAAACTAGAAGGCTGTTGCAGTTAATCATTAAAGATCACTTTTATCCTGGTGCAGCTCTTGGCATCTTATGTTCTATCTTCCAGGACATAAAGCAGACAGAGCATGCAGCTATTATAGCAGCCTTGTGTTGCTGACTCTTCATTCAGATCTAGAAGGGCCTCTGCCTCAAAACCAAGCATTTGTGGGGACAGCATTCCATGTCCCTGTACGGAGGGGAGGGTGGTAGATTAAAGCTATGAGAAGTCTTTTTTGAACTATCTACCTATGCCATTGGTCTTTGTTTAAGATCAGAAGCTAAACAAGGTGTATTTAAACAGGGTTCCAATGACCTAAAATAACTTTAAGAAACTGAGACAGCTTACACTAGTAAGCCATCAGCTGTGTTCTCATCCATTGTCAGTGTAAATAATTGGCCTTTTAACTTCCTTCACCTGCCCAAGATCATTTTCAGCTGCCTGCTGAAACTTGATTGGACAAAGTCCAGTTAAACTCAGCAAATTATTTGGGCCAGGAAGAATGAGAAACTTAAATTTTCTTCAGTGCTTCAAACCAAAAAATACTGCTCTTTGAATGCTAGTCCTCAAGTACTGCCCTGCAAGTCAGATCAATAAGCTGGGATGTAAAGACACCTTGATTCAAATGTCTCTGTGTAAATCAGTAATGTGAACATGGTCTCTGACTTTAAGTGTCTTAAAACATATGGCTGTGGGTTATTCTTGTTGATATGTTTGAAGTTTAGGTTTATGTAAATTACTTAGCAACTGTAGCTGGCTGATCAAGGCCCTCATCAAAGTGGAAGGAAACCTGGGCTCTGACTACTGCTGGAGTGAATGTGAAATGTGAAACTTCATCCCTAGCAGAGATTGAGAGAAATCAGGCTAGAACATGGCCCTGGGCTGTAGGAAGTACGCTGAAGTTGTATCTAAGCAGACAGTGAAGGAATTTGACCCGCAGTACTTGGGTTATGAGTGTTCTAATAACTAGACATGTAATGTTAATAAGAAATAGGAAAGAAAATAGAAAAATAGTTTCCTGTTTGGTTAATGAGTTGCATCTACATCTAATTGTGGAAGTAAATCATCTTTCCCTTTATCTCCTGTAATTTTCTTGAGTAGCTGTGAAAATGTCATATTTTTTTTTCTAAGATGGATTCATTGCAAAATGTTGTTAGTTTTTTTCAGTTTACAGGTAGGCCCTGGGAGGGTTGCTTAAGAACCGAACATGTGATCGGATCAAAATGTGATTAAAGGTACATGGTCTGAAATGTAACTCCTTTTTTAGAAGAATGATGACAATTGTAGGTTAGACTGGTCTTTAAAGAGGCACCACAAACATTGTTCATTACTGATGCTAAAGCACGCTCTGTGTGTTAGCCTGTGACCTAGTGCTGGTATAAAAAACTGTAAAATAGCAATGGAAACTGCACGGTGACATGATATAAAGTTTATATGTGCTATGTAGAAAGACAAGGTTTGCTCATTAACCAGTTCTCCGTGTTTATTGGCTAGTTGCTTTTAGAACTGTGCTTTAAATATTAGGCTAATTGTAAGTTTATTGTTAATTTGAAGTTATTTAAGGATTTGATGCTAGCACACACCACCAATTCAGCCAAGTTAAATGCTAGTCTAGCTGAACCGAGTGTGAAGAAAACATTTCAACTGCGTGGGAGTGAAAAATGTACTTGGGGAGTGAGAAACAAGCTTTTGCACATGCTTGGGCTCTCTTTTTAGGGGTGGGGGGGGCGG